CTTGCATCAAGATCTGGACGGCTAAAGGTTGCAGTATCCGGGGTCCAGACCCCGAGTCAACGCTACTTAAGCGTTGACCTCCCTGGCTTTGACATTCATTCTGCCTTGCGTTGATGTTGACTTCACACGTTGACTTCAACGCTGGCTCGACGCTGCGACGCTGGCCCGACGCTGCGACATTGGCATTGTGATTCTGCGAGGCGCTGCTGGTCCGGCATGGTGGCTGGCTTGCACCTGTCTTCTTGGCATGCCGATGTGGCAGCTGCCATGCGCTGTCGCTGATGTGGCTGCTGCCACGTGTTCCTCTATTCGCTGACGAAGCGAAGCTACGTGACTTGTATTGCTGTTCTGATTATCATCATTCGGGAGGAGATCAGGACTGTGGAGAGATCGTGGATACGTACCTGATGGTCTTCATGTCGACATTGCTCCAGCGCTGATGAGGAACTAATTAGACGTGCCACGTGGCACATTGAGCTAACTTCAGATACTCGTTCAGACTATTGACTATTGAGGTGGTGATCGAGGAGGGAGCCCGAAGAAGGAGTGGGCCCTGTATTCATTTCCTCTCCTTTGTCTAATCTCCCTCTTCTCTCTTCGTCTGTGTATGATTATCTCATCTCATTCTGTCTGGATACTGTATTCACGATCTGGCTTCATTGCAAATGTACCAAATGAGAAGGAATCTTTCGCTAGAACCTGGAAAGATGCATTGCCATAGTTTTTGTTTTCTGTGCATTTGGTGAGTAGTGCAGTGAGGCACTATACCCAGTGAAAGAAATGGCCAAACCAAGCGACTAGATGCCCGCTGTCCCGCTTCCTTTTTAAAAAAAAAAAAGATGGACGCTGTCCCTGTTTTTCTTGGTGAGCACTGAGTGGTAACCAATGTTGTTCATGGATCGAACAAATGGATGGATGTGTGATGTATTCTTCACTTGCCGGGGGAGGAGGAGCAGGAGGGGGCTAAGCCGCTAGTACACAGGCCCAGCCTTGCTGAAAATGCAACTCGTCGCCTACAAAAATTTCAGAGGCTCGGCGTACAGGACCACAATGGTTGGAGGCGCCAGCTAAACAAAACGAAAATGCGCCACTAGCGGTTCGGAAAAGCTTGGCACGCAGTAAGGCCCCTCCAGACCCGGATGTACTGGTGGTTTAAGTCTTTGTGGCCAAGGTACGCAGTGTTTCTGGCGTGCGGGTTTTTGACTTATGTCTTTATCAGGGCTTAGGAGGGGTTTAATTTGTGATCTCGTAGACCTGAAACACCGTTCTTTCCCATGAGGATCCATGTACTTTGTTCATCTATCTTTGTTTTTCAAACAAACGTCCATTGCTGTTTTTTTTTACCCGCCTGCATTCCTTTGGTATCACTATCATTCTCGACATGCCACCTGAACAGCAAGGTCAGTAGCTATACATCTGAATTCCTGTAATAGCCACCCTTCTTCCTTCTTTCACACCCATCTTTTTCTCTACCGGTCAGAACTCCTCATTCTCCTGAACCTGAACTTCTTCACATTGCTTCTTATACATCTCTCCATCGACTATTTGTGTCTTTTCCAATCTCCCCTTTCCTGCTCATCTTGTTGTTGTTGGTTGTTGGTTGTTGGTTGTTGGTTGTTGTTGGTTGTTTCTGGTTGTTGTTTATTGTTGGTAGTTTGTTGTTGGTAGTTTGTTGTTGGTAGTTTGTTGTTGGTTGTTGTTGTATGTCGTTGTTGTTTGTTGTTGTTGTTTGTTATTGTTGTTTGTTGTTGTCGTTTGTTATTGTTGTTTGTTGTTGTTGTTTGTTGTTGTCGTTTGTTATTGTTGTTTGTTGTTGTCGTTTGTTGTTGTTGTTTGTTGTTGTTGTTGTTGTTGTTGTTGGTTGTTGTTGGTTGTTGTTGGTTGTTGGTCGTGATTGTGGTTGGTTGTTGGGTGTAATTGTGGTTGTTGGTTGTTGGTTGCTGGTGGTTGTTGTTGTTGTTGTTGTTGTTGTTGTTGTTGTTGTTGTCGCCGTTCTCGTCATTGTCGTCGTCCTTCTCCTCCTCGTTGCTGCCGCTGCCTCCTCTTCTTCACTCTCTCCTTCTCCACCCCCGTCCGCAATGCCATACATTTCAGACAGAAATCTGCAGCATGCTGCTCCTGCTCCTGCCACCTCTGCCTCTTCTTCACTCTCTCCTTCTCCACCCCCGCCCACAATCCCATACATTTCGGACAGAAATGTACAAAGTCAGTACAATTCAACAATGTCTTCATACTTATTAGATTGATAAGATAGTAATATATTTTCTTTTGAAGTAAAATAATAAAAATATTGTGATTGTGACATTGATTATTCTAGATTTAATAGAATCAATTATTGTATAATTTTAATTAATTCTATTAACCCAAATAAGATTGTATTCAACCCCACAAAAAGCAACGTGGGAGACAACCGATCCACCAAGTTACTGTTTATATAGCACCTAAATTTTAAAGTTGAACTCTGAAGTTCCCCTAGCTCCTATAAAGAAAATAGCGGGTCTTGCGCGACGCTCCCATGCGAGATCCGTGTGGCCCGTGTTGGGAAAGCGTTGGGGACACCAGCCGGGCCCAGGGAAATGGTGCAGCGAAAATGCGCAGGGGAAAACAGAAACGCAGGGGGGCACGGCTTGAGGAGACAGGGCGGAGCAGGGAGACATGGGGTATCGGAAATTGAGATAGAATCTTCCTCTAGGACATGGAAGGAACACCGCCATCATAGGGCATTGTGCACTACTCACCGAATGTGCAAATAGAGAGTGAATCTCCCACTAGGACATCGAAACATGCACCGTCATCATAACGACACCCTATGATGGCGGTGTATCTTTCCATGTCCTAGTGGAAGATCCATTCTCAATTTGGATGTTTGGCAGTGTATCTGTCCATGTCCTCGTGGAAGATTCATTCTCAATTTGCGCATTTGGTGAGCAGTGGAGCGACGCCCTATGATGGCGGTGTATCTTTCCATGCTCTAGGAGAAGATTCATTCTCAATTTGCACATTGGGTATCTTTCCATGGAGCAACGCCCTGTGTCTGAATACAAGTGCATAGCAAGTGAGCCTTGACGTGGCAGCACGCTATTCCCC